AATTAAATATGAGGGCAAGAAAACAAAATAATCCTTCATTAATCATAATCGAAGTAAAATGTTCAATTTATCGTGATGTTGATTTGAGGTTATATCGCCCAGCCCAATGGCCAACATGTTCATGGACCAGCCAGCAGAAAAGCAAGCTCCACCACTAACATCACTTTCTGTAGCGACACACTGAAGAAATCCATCTCCTTATTCAGTTTCTAATTCAGAGTTCTAAATTGCTGTTTGGCCTTCTTACCTAGAGATTGGAAAATGTCGTTCCTAATTTAGTTCATGCTGACCAGACAAGGTTTGTTAAACAGACAAGGAACTAACGAAATACATTAACCACTCAACTCAATCCATTTAACTTGTAGAGGGAACAACTGCTACTATTTATTTCAGTGAATACAAAAAGGCATTTAAAAAATAAACATTGTATGCACATTTAGATGTATTCAGAATGTTTAATGATCAAAACATTAAATTCCCAGAAAAACATATTTTGCATGATGTACTCCAGTTTCATATTTTTTTTTTAAATCATGCTTTGTAATCCTCTTTAGCCCACGTGTCATCAATGCTTTCATCTTTGACTTATCTAATTATCCTTTTGGCCAACAAACAGGATATACAAAGGGGTTCTCCTCACCATCCAGTGGTACCCTCATCAATATGTCAGGGTGCAGGTAGGCAGCTCATATGCTCATGTTCGTACTCGTAATAATTGTCCGATACCAAGAACTGAAACCACTTAATTGCAACATTACATTAAAACTCAAAGCCGCTGCATTTTTTCAGTTTTTGCTGCCATATCAAATTTTGTCAACCGGAAACATTTGAGAAGGATAAATACAGAGAACACTGGCACATGGAAAATTGCCGAGTATATGCGGAGGATGTCAGCAGTTTGGACTTATTAGAAGATAAGGGACAATGACAGAAGTTAAGCAGACTGCAAGTTCTATTCTGCTAAAGTGTCAAGAGGAGGAACATAAGAACATAAGAACTATACAAACGAGAGGAGGCCATAAAGAAGTGCTTCCTTAAATCCAG